CAAAATCAATAAAAATGTTGTATGAGCTATTCTGACTAAAAAATATTTGCTTCTGTACAATATCTATTCAGATTGTTATAATTTATGCAAAATTGAGTTTTCTTGTCTTTAGCTTGATATCACATGATATGCAACTTACAAAATAACCAGAGAGAGAGCTTTTATAACCAGTCATCAGTTCAACACCTTCACCAGGTGAATATTAATCACTGGTTGATAATTACATACTGCTCACCTATAAAGTTGATAACAGCAAGTGCTAAACAAACTTATAAGTAAACTTGTATTATTCATTAGCAAGACATTCACAGCATTCAGGGATGTATATTGTAGAATTCTTCTTTGTTTGTTAATGTTGCTGGGGCCTTCAGAGATTAAGTACATGAGTACCGAAAAAACTAAAAGGCATTATGAGTACCCAAAAGAATAGTTACTCAGAATCAATGCTCATGCTAGGCATATTTCAACTCTATTTTTTCTATCACATTTTTTTTCACTATAAAAGCACAAACTATAAAAGTAGTAAGACATTTGGAAGACAAATATGCCACTCAATAATACATAATTTAGTGAATAAATTTAGCAAAGTTCTATTGAATGGTCATTGTGTTCCATGCACTGAGTAGATACTAAAGTCACAGAGAGAAAAAGCGACTCATTCCATGATCTCAAAAAGTCTATTGTCAGAAAAAAAAAAAATCAAGAATCACTCCACAGAATGAGTGTGGTTTTAAAGGCAAAGGCAAAAATTTTCTAAATTCATATATGCTATTAATTTCTTGGGTAATTTGGGGAGCATATGTTCTTTTTTAAATTAGGTTTACTAATATAGTAATAGCAAATCACCAGTCTGGTATACCAGTTTGTCAGTTTTGTTTCTTGTCTTCACACATTTGGAAGGCAAGACCCTCTGTCATATCTGATATCACTCCATAGAGTCTGAGTTAAATTGCCTTATTTAAATTCACACACCAATTTTGGTTTCCTAGTTGTAGATTTCTTCATAAGAAGCAGAAGTAGTACAGAAATGAAGTGCGTATCTCTGAAAGGGGGCTAAGAAAATGATCTTTGTCTTATTCAGGGAGTTAGAGACCAGATACTTTTACATAATCAGTGTGGGCTTAATGAAATAGTATCTTTGCGGAGTGTTGCTGGCTAACAGTACTTGCCAGCAAATGGTATTAAGCATTGTATTTTGAGAATTTGAATTTGTTCTTTAAGAATGAGCTATGACTGCAATATTAAGAAATATTTTGGGGGCTGGCCCTGTGGCACAGCAGTCAAGGCACACATTCTGCTTCAACAGCTCAGGGTTCACAGGTTCGGATCCCGGGTGAGGACGTGGCACCGCTTGGTGTGCCATGCTGTGGTAGGCGTCCCACGTATAAAGTAGAGGAAGATGGGCACAGATGTTAGCTCAGGGCCAGTCTTCCTCAGCAAAAAGAGGAGGATTGGCAGCAGTTAGCTCAGGGCCAATCTTACTCAAAAAACAAAAAGAAATCTTTGTAAGACTGCCAATAGTTTTTCTATAGTTAGTTCCATTTTGCATATTACTTGTAAGTCTTTATCAGTGTTGCATGGTTTTACTCAAGGAATTGAACAGTATCACATTTTTTCCAAAATTACTATAAACCTTCGTAATTAGCATTTTAATGGATGCATATTTTAGTGTGTTAATATACAGTTATTAATATCAAATTTTTAAAACAGCAAGAACTTAAAATGCTCTATCTAAATTACAGGAGAAGTATAATATATGTGAATTATAAGAGCATAGTATGATTGTAAATAGTAATAATAAAATTATATAAATATTTTAAATACCAATATTATGTAATAAATGGTTTTAAATAATAGTAGCATAAATATTTTGTTTTGAGGCTAAAAGACTGAAAATTTTATTTAAGTTCCGTTGGGTAGAAGAATATCTTACGTTTAGAAAGTTCGATAGCACACTTTCTTTTAACAGTTAACTTAGATTTACATAGATATTTGGAAAAGAATATGATCTAAACCTCTCAACCAGCCCTCTCTTAAGCACCGGAAAAATCATTACGTTGCCCAGTTCTCTCCCTTTCTGTCATAAGAAGCATGGAGAGCAGAACTATATATTTTGGTAATTAATTTCCTTAAGATAATGTTAGAAACATCATGTTCTTTAAAATATAAATGAATTTCAAGGTGAGCATGCTAGAAGTAATATTAATGGCATATGATTTATTGTGACAAGAGATCTGGTCTGAAACACCATTATTAGGAGTACTCAAAAAAAGTCCATTTGCAAACTCCTGAAAACGTGAAAGAGTGCTAGAGCTGAACCTGTCCTAGTGTTGAAATCTGAAAATCTGTCCCTTGTAAGTAAGAAACTGCTTGTGCACAATATCTATGTTTTCCTCATAGAAATTTATTGGAAAATTTTCATATCCTGACTACACAGTATTGCAGTTTAAGGAATTACTTAAATGCTTGTAATTCTGAGTGAAGACAATCTACAAAAGTATATATTGAAATGAATATGCCTAATCGACTTGGAAATAGATGTAATTTTAGGGCAGATTGTTATCTTAAAAAATAGTTGGCCAATAATACATTAAACATCTACTATATAGCTGGCATTCTTTGAACTCACAATAGAAACATGTGCCCTGTGTCAATCTAGAAGGTGTTTTTTATGTTATTACTGTTCCAGGAGAAAATACCCTTTAAACTATTATAAGCAAGATTTACTCGTGCCTCAACTTTGCAAATAAGTTTCAATAAGATGTAGTTTTACATCTTATAAACACATCTGGGTATACAAACACATTGTTGTAAATGGCATCTAACCACATACTGGGCAGTGAGGAATGTCGTAAATTAGTAGTGCAATTGATAATAAAAAATTAAGTAGGTATACGTGAATAATAGAAGCCTTTTTTATTAAGAAGAATTAAAATTATTCTGGAGAACAGAATTCATTAGCCTCTGACACTTGAGGGAGAGCCATACATATTGGCATTCTTTTATATAGGGTGTCAAATTTGAGTATCACAGAAATATATTGACACACAGATCTATACTTTTAGTATTCTTCCTCCCCCATACCGGCCATCTCTCTTTGTTTTTCTTTCTCTGCTGATTAAGTTTGAGACAAAAATGCCTTAAACATCATTAAACGTTTTTTCCCCTGGGTATCTCTTACAGCTTTTAATGGGCTTTTACATAGTAAAACTCCTGAAGGGGTACGCTGCATTCTGCATTTTCCAAATAGCATTTCTTTTTTGCTTGAATCCTATTTTAACATATGAATATAAACATATGAAAGCTTCAAAAGTGGGTGAGCATAGGCTAGTGTATTGTATCATATGGTTTCACGTACATCAACAAATACATTCATTTCCAGGACATTCAAGGTGTATCATCAAGTGCTAAAATCTACTATAAAGAGAATATAATTTCACTGCTACATCAATTTATTTTCATATATTTCATGAAATGAAACTAAATCTTGTAAAATAAAAATGTCTTTTTATTCTAGATATAAAGAAAACTTAATAGGTGAAAATTTTAACTAGATTGCTTTTGGTTTAATTTTATAAAACACATGGCACAAATTTAAACAGTACAGAAAAGTACGATAAAAATTCAGTCTCCACCCCAACCACTTGGTTCCATTCTCCAGAAACAGCTAGAGTTAAAATACTTTTTGTGAATCCTTCTAAAGATATTATATACACATATAAATATTCATATTTACACATTTTTTTAAATAAAAATTTATAGCTGTCTGAGCTATGGGAGAAAAGGCAAACCATAACATCATGATTTATGATTTGAAGGGTAATAAAGAACTCTAGGCAATACCTAACATAAGTATTCGGAATATTTTCATTTGTTTTACTAAAACATTACAATAGGTCAATTTAATGAAAATTCAGATAAGACCTCACTAATCATGAAACTATTTAGTTGACGATTCTCATATAAAGTAGGACACTAAAGCATATAAATAAAAATCTAAAATAATTTAAAAATAGATTTTAACATTTATTTGTTATGAACCTACATGGAAGAAAATTATGTCAATGTACTGATGTGTGACAAAAGTGAAATAAACACAAGAATTTCCAGGGGCAGTTACCTAATAAGGAACCTGCAATATTCATGGTAAGATGTCAACTTAGCCAAATATAGAGACCATAGAAGCTTTGGCTTTGAACATTAATATATAAATCACTTAAATATCTATACAGAAAGGCTGATTATGATTTTGTAACTTCATAAAATGAGCAGAGTAGAAATGGCTATAATTGAAGCAAAAGAAGATTCAATTCTTCTGCCCCATTTTTCCAGGAAAGTGGGAGAGAGAGCCAAATATTCTTCTAGAAAAGGGGAAGACACAAAGTCAAAGTTTTCCCTATTTCCCTGAATAACCAAGAAAGTCAATGCCTACATTTTGGAGGGAAAAATGTTTGTATAATGCTATAATAGCAAAACAAATTTTGGTTGTCCAGGCTTTTCTCCTTGAAGAAAAAGTCTTTAAAAATAGTTTATGTTGGCATTGATATTTTTCTGATTTATTTTCCATAGAGCTGAGGCTGATATTGGACTAACAGTAAAAAGATGAGAGGCCTTATATGATACCCACACAGCATACAGTTACTCAGCATTATCAATTCAGAGCCTTTGTGTTTTTCCTTGGGACTTAGGATAATCGCCCCTCAATAACAAGCCATGTAAAGACTTCCAGTATATCTTAATAAAATAGTATTGTCGTGTTATACTTGAAATCTTTCTTTTCAGCATATGAAAATAGACTAGAGATGGCCACATTTCATTTCCTATTATAATTTCATCAAAACCTAAGGGGAAAAATTAAATTCTTTTACATTTTTGTCTTAACACACACCAAGCATCACTTAATCAACATATGTAAGATATTTGATACCTTATAGTGATTTTTATGCCATAAATCATCAACAAAAAAACCATAATTATAATTTCATCATTTGTTAGCTTACCTACTGTTGAACTTCTCTGGGTGTTTTTCTCTCATGATATGGAATCTGTGTGCAATGGAGGCATCCTAACGAGAGAAACAGAAAAGAAAAACAGGACAGTTTATGATCCTATTATCTTGTGGAAATAAAGATCAAAAGAGAAAAGAAGTTAATGAATAATATTTTTAAATGAACGTTTTCTTAGCAATATCATTACCAGGAAGATGTTCTGAAATTAGGCAAAATATACGTAATCCACATAAATTATGTGCAAGTGTGATTTATGTCACGATTTCACCATTTGTTACTTGTCATATTTACTTCTAGGAATTGATTTCTATTTAATTTATATATATTCTTTAATAATTGGTTTTGGCCTCATGCTTACAGTGTGTTTAAGATGGCGCATGTGAACAAAAATGTGAAAAAGCAGTTGCAAATATTGTTACACAAGAGCTGGAAAGATGGCCTAAGTGGAGAAATGATCTGTTAGGGAAGCTCCAGTCCTCTGAGATTAATTACAGGTAAAAAATACTGTAAGAGTGCATATCTAGTAAAATTAAGTATAATACATGACTTCAAAGTTTGGTAAGTGTCGTGGATATAATTATTATCTGTTCATTCCACAAGTAACTTTCTGACATATCTTGCTTAATAAAGAAAAGCAACAGAAAAAAATCTATTTTTGGAGAATGGGTGACAAGTGTAACCAGGCTCTGAGACCCCAAATGCACCAGTTCTAAACGCTAATGGATGTTTCTTCCTTTTAGGAAATCCATTCATAGTTTCAAAGAGACAGAATCACAATGAATGTGTGAGATTGGTGGAATATTGTGATTCCAGCTTTTCAAACACAGACTGTTCTTACTGACTTTTAAACAGTTGCCCCGGTTATTCTAAGCAAGAAGATATTTTTCCCATTCTTCATCTACACATGATTAATCACTCCAATGAGGAACTAATATATTTACCAGTCATTTCAAAAGAAATGGGACTATTGTTGCGATTAACTGTTAATTTTGTTTCATAGTGGAGATAAAATAAAAAGAAAAACCAAACACAAAGGAAATAAAGAAGTTGTGTATTTGAGAGGAACTCGAAAACACTAATCAAGGATTAAAAGTCTAATGAATGAAATGAAAAGGCTAATGTGCTTACTCATGCATAACAAAGCATGAAGCACAACAAGAGAGGGACCAATGCCCACTGCAGATGGCAGACAGAGTTGCTTTTTCTCTGCAAGATAGAGCTGTGACAGAACTGTAATTTTTTTCTGTACATTTCATCCTCTAAAAATTGTTTAGCAATGGAATTAATCCACAAGTGAAAAGGACACTAAGGTATAGATAGGTGTGTATACAAACAAAAGTTAGAAAAAAGTTACAAAAAAATAAAACCTCTGTGGTTTGATATTCTAAGATATAACTTTGTTATATATACATGGTCAACTTCCTGGTTTGCTAAGAAATAGGAATATCAAGATGGTTCACTTTTATTGATCCAATACCTCTCAAACTCAGTCACAGAGTTTCCTCTTTTTTTAAAAAAAAATTCTCACTAATAAACCATAACTATATTCTATCTTAGATTGTGAAGCTGTCTTATTGTGGTATGAAATTATAGAAAAATCTGAGCTGGGCTATATATAGTATATTATGTAGCATGATCATTAATTAATTTTTAAAAAATCATTTCTTTTCACTTTATCTCTAATTTGATTCAACATCAATTTGCAACACCTTATAATTAAATGCATACATCCAGCAGACCAGTTAAACAAAAGCAAAGGAATATGAATCAGGTAGTAAGAATGGATGATCAATATTGGTTACCCATAGGGAGACTATCATTGAATTTACTTCTTGTTGAATTATTTGTTTCCGCTAGTTTAGAGAACTGAGACTTTAAAAAACAGATTGCATAGTATAATTTTCTTCACAAGCATATATTTTTGCAATAACAAATCTCTTGCTTTCCAAAGCAAGAGGACAGACAGAGGGAGAAAGAAAAGAAGAGGAGGAGAGGGGAGAGGAGAAGAGAGAGAGCATCAAAAGAAGACCATGTAAGTAGACTGGACTATAACTAAGTAAACTCCTGGAAATATAGAACACCAGACAGCCAAAGATAAACTGAATGTTAGCTCTATCTCCAAGACAGTTGAGCAATGATCATATAGTAAAGAGGAGAAAAATAAAAACTAGTGAGGAACACTGGCATGCCTTTTCCTCATGTTGAATGGGTTCCACCACAAAGAGAGGGTTGGCATTGCTGACTACAGGATTGATAAGAAACAATGACAGCAGGTGTTCATTTGGATGAGAACTCAGACCAAATTCCCATGGGACCCCGTCCCTTTGGCACAACCCCAAGAGGCTTGAAAGGGAACTGCCAAACGTTGCAAACTTATCCAGGAGCCATATTTCAGGAACACTTCTGATTCTCTAAAAAGAGACTAAATAAGAAAAAGCTAGAATATTGTTGTTGATTTTTTAAATAAATGTTGCTCTCTCTGTCTCTATGTATTGCAGTTTTTAGGGAACAGAAATTAAGTCAGCCTCACTTCCACACTGTGGAATGGACAAACTTTGAATTCAGACAGACTTTCACTTCCAAGACTTCTGACTCTGAGCAAATGACTTCCTTACTGTGAGTCACAGCTTCCGAATCTTTAACAGAAGACACTGATACACTTTTATAGTATGTGGTAGTGATTTTTTTGAGATTATTCTGTATAACAATTGAAATAGTGTTCTCTAAGCTGGGTGCTCATATATTTTATATCCACACTAGAATTTTATTGAAAGTAAAAGGGGGTGCTAAAACATAGTTAAATTTTGAAGTATGTATTTATTGACTCTTAAATTTGTTTTATTATTTCCTGAACTTCTATAATACTTTTATCTTAAATTAATTTAAAAAACAAAATCAGATCTAAAAAAAACAAAGTATATCCATCTTTATTCAAGCAAAACAAATTTAAATCTCATCATGTTGACTTTCTAAGTAGCAAAAGTTAAAGTAATTTTTCTTGATATATATCTCAATACTTACAAATATATGTATATCAGAAAATCAGCTGCTTACTCATATCTTTCTTTAATACTTTGTCACTGGTATTTTTCTGAAGAGTGATTTTTTTCCTTTCCTGTAAGGACTTATTTTATGTTTTTTAATAAAGCTACCCAAAATCTCCAAAGTTGCATTTTAAGCTATTTATTTGAATAATTTGACTATTTTCTGTGGATCATAACATTTTCAATAGAGAAAATACTCTATAAGTGCTGAGACACCTGAGCCTACAGTGAATTCTGCTAAGAAGAGGACATTATTAATATTAATCTTTTTCTTGAAGTCTAAAATATATCTGCCCAAATACTGTCATAGGTACTATTATTTTTATTCCATTTAAAGAAAATTTCTCTGACAAATATTTTTACGAAACTTGTCAAATAAGTTGTTTTCATTTTTGTTTACTGAATTATTATTATAATGAGTTAAATACCTTCTCAATTTCATTGCATTTCAGGATAGGATATAAATTTAGTCAATTACAAATTAGTATCATCAAGAGTTGTTCCAAAATGCAATTATGGAATTTAAAATTAAACTTTGCACACCAGATGAGTTTTCATTGTTGAAACTCTTCAGTTCCTCCTTAGTTTTGGATGGAAAAATTGCAATGTCTCCCTGTGTGCGAGTTTTTGGGTTTCTTAAAATAATTTCAATTTGCTAGAAATCTTCGAAATCTCAAGTTTTTGGTGCTCCATTTGTTGGATATTTTATTAAAGGTTACCCAATGTTTTCTTCCTTTTTTTGAGGTATTATTTACACAGAATAAAATTCACCAAGTTTAAGCGTTCAATTCAATGAGTTTTGACAAAGGTATACAATAACCACCTTCACAATCGTGATATAGGAAATTTCCATCACTTCAATAAGTTCCCTAATACCCTTTGTATTTATATACTTTTATACTTATATAAATCCCCCCTCCACTCTTAAAAGTCATTGATCTGCTTTCTGTTGCTGTAGTTTACCTTTTCTGCAATTTCCTATAAATGGAATTTAAAAGTACTCTCTTATGTCTGGCTACTTTCACTTCTTATAATGCTTTTTTTTGTTTTAAGTGAAGAAGATTGGCCCTGAGCTAGCATCTGTTGCCAATCTTCCCCCCTTTTTTTTTGTCTCTCCCCAAAGCCCCAGCAAATAGTTGTATATCCTAGTTGTGGGTCATTCTAGTTCTTCTATGTGGGATGCTGCCACAGCATGGCTTGATGAGCAGTGCATAGGTCCATGCCCAGGATCTGAAGTGACCAACCCTGGGCCACTGAAGTGGAGCACGTGAATTTAACAATTCAGCCACAGGGCTACGCCTATAATGCTTTTAAGATTCAGCCATTTGTTCTGGCACCAGTGGTTTGTCCTTTTTTGTTGCCAAATAGTATTCTATTCAATAGATTCACCACAATTTGTTTGTTTATTCACTAGTTGTTGACATTTGGCTTTTATGAAAAAAGCTGCTATGAACTGTTGAGCACAATTCTTTTTGTAGACAGGTGTGACTGTATCTCTTGGGTAAATACCTAGAAGTGAGATTGCTGAGTTGTATAGTAAGTGTACATTTAACTTTATAAGAAACTGCCACATTATTTTTCAAAGTACTTGTACCATTTTGCATTTCTACCAGTAATGTACGAGAGTTCCAGTTATTCCACCTCTTTACCATTACTCCACATCCACAACTCTCGGCAGTCTTTTTAATTTTATCATTCTAAAAAGTATGCAATGGTATCCTTGCTTGGAGCCTTAACCCTTATGAGCCAGCACCATCTGCTTCACTAGAGGCGTCTGCCAATTGTGATGAAACTATAGGGTTTGAAAGTTCTGGTACAGACTTAACGGATGTTCCTAGCTCTGTCAGAATTTGTCCATCCTCACAGCTCTTAGAATATTTTCTCTGTTACGCTACTCAACGATTCCAAAATAGCAATGAGCGCTCTGTGGAATTCCACTTGTGCTTTCTACCCCACATTCACCCCAGGCACAGCCTCAAGGGTTTCAAAGGGTTCTTTTTTCCATTAAACGC